GAGCAGTTTTGGGGTGAGTGGTGGGGCAGTGGCTCCCAGTTTGTGACATGAGAACCTCCCAAGGCTGCGGCCATCAGGCAAGGGGGAAGGTGGAAAGGGGAAGCAGCTGTGGGGTTTTTCCTGGTTGCAGAGTGTGAGATGGGGACTGAAGGCACTGGACAGCAGCCCTTGGGCGCGTCCAGACCTTGTGGGCAGCTCTGGTTGCAGTTCACAGGCAGCAGCCCCATGTTCAGTGCTCAGGAGCTCTCAGACATCTCTGTGTTCCCAGTACCTCTGATTCCATCCCTGCTGGGTGGATCATTGCTCTTAAACACAATAAAGTACATTCCTGGTGTGTAGCAGCTCCGCAGGCAGCAAAGCCCAGCTCCCCTAAAGGGATTTTCCCTTTCTTCTTTTCATTCCCTAAAAAAAAATAGAATATTGCCAGTCACGTAAGATGCAAGATCCAAGTGCAGAAGCTTCTGCAGTCTCTAATGGGTGAGGAGAGCTGGTTAATTGGTGCCCAATGCAATTAATTCATACTATCCCCTTGCTCAGCCACCAGCAATGAGGAGGGAGCAGAGGGCTCCCCATCAAGTGGGGAGAGGTGGTCAGGAGAGGATGTCATCACCAGGGGACAGGGGGACATGGGCAGCATGGAGCCACTCCTGGGACACCCATGCAGGACCCTCCTGTGTCTGCAGGCTCTGGTCACCCAACACCAGAGATGTCCCCAGTGCCTGTCCCTGCTGTGCCACTGCCAGCTCCTCCCCACGAGGCAGCTGCAATTTGGAGAGGATTGATGGCAGGGGTCCTCCAGGCTGACCTTGAGCAGCTCCCGACACATTCCTGCAATTAATGAGGCAGGAGGATTAATTTCTGCGTGGCAGATCCGGGGAGGCCCTGATGGGCATGGGGAGGGGAGGAAGGGTGGGATGTGCTGCCATTATTCATCTCTGCTCTGTGAGATGCCAAAGTGGTGCCAGGGGGCTGCAGCTCCAGCGTGGCAGAGTGGTTTGACAGGGTGGATGGGCAAGAGGGAGAGATCCTTCATGGCACAACCTAGAACCTGCCTGTCCCTAAATTCTGCCTCTGTTACACAGGTGTCTGTGGCAGAGGAACCTCCTCATGAGTTTGGCCTCTCACCCCTCATATTCCTGGAAATTCCTGTTCTTTTCTGCTGAGTCACTCCCGAGCTCAGACTTACGAAGCATCTCCTCCTGCTATTGCTGAAAATAAATTTCTCTTTGATGCTGCCTCCCATCAAACCACCTGGTCAGGGGCTTCTCACCCCCCCAGCACAGCCCCTCACCTGGCTGTGCCCCTGGTGCCAGGCAGCAGCTCTGACTCTGATCCAAGCTCTGGGGCTGCCTGGCCATTCCCATCACTTCCCAGCAATCAGGCTGCAAGCAAAGCACTATTATTTTTCTGCTCTAATAAACACCTCTGAGAATAATAGAAAAAAACCCAGCTTTTATCAGGAGAAAAGGATACCTGGGGATTATTTACTCAGAGTCAATAGTTGCAGATAGGGCAGCCACCAGCAGCTGCTCATGGCTGGAGCATTGCATGGAAAAGGGGCAAAGCTCTCCCAAGTGCTCCCCCCTTGCTGCTGCTGTATGAACCCCCAGTCTGGGCTGTGGAGATCCCCTTCATTCCCCATCCATATCAGTGCCAGGCCCCTGGAAGGCACAGGGAGGGCTCTGGGTGCTGGAGCTGTGGGGCAGGAATGTGACTTGGAGCTGGCACTGCTCCTCCAACAGGGGCTGAGATCTGGGAGAGCAAAAAACCCACGGTCAATTGAGCTAATCACAAAGGCAATGAAATGTCCTCGTGAGGTTATAAACATCCCTGCTTGAACACAGTGACACAGGGAAATAGGAATCCAACCAAGCAGCCTC